ATTTATACTTATTTTAATAAAGAGATTTGAATAAAAAAAATTTATTTAATGAATGTCAAGTTTTATAAAAACATGTTACTGGTTTGAATGTGGTTATGCATCGGCATCTTTTTATTTAATTTTTCAGTTAATTAATTCCACGATCGATTCAATTTCAGTAATGTGTATAAGCATGCATATATTCGTAATAATATAGTATATCATTATTCAATATATATCTTGATTACAAGATAATGAAAATTTAAACGGAGATACTAGTTTTGTAAAATGTATCCTCTTGAATCAAACTCATGTAATATCAAAAATGCTTATTACCCGTAGTCAAAAATGGATCTTGGTTTGGATTTGAGGGCGTCCACACACTTTTCAACTGTGCCCAGANTTTAGCGAATGTCAAGTTTTATAAAAACATGTTACTGGTTTGAATGTGGTTATGCATCGGCTTTTTTTTTAGTTAATTTATTCCACAGTCTATTCAATTTCAGTAATGTGTATAAGCATGCATATATTCGTAATAATATATTATATATCATTATTCAATATATATCTTGATTACAAGATAATGAAAATTTAAACGGAGATACTAGTTTTGTAAAATGTATCTTCTTAAATCAAATTCATGTAATATCAAAAATGCTTATTACCCGTAGGTAAAAATGGATCTTGGTTTGAATTTGAAATCGTCCACACACTTTTCAACTGTGCTCAAAAGTAATTAGTAAACAGTGCGCATGCGTCGCCATTGCATGCGTTGCTATGGCGACCGCTGCTGTTTTTCTTTTTATTTTCACTAGCAGGTGTCCGGCATTGATCGTTAAGACACGGTTCCCGGCAGATCACCGAAGTCGAGCATCACTGGCTACGGTCAGTGTGAGGGTGGGTGACCACTTGGATCAGTCTGAGTAGGGATCGAGGTTAAGCGGTATTGGTCCTCGTTAAACTGTTCTACCGTAAAGTGCTCGACTTCACGTGCTGGTCGTCGGGCTATCGAAGCGGGGGTGCCATCCCCTCTGCAGAGGATCAAAATTGTGATGGCATATCTTCGGATCATCCTCAGGGGTGTTTCCCAGACCGCCGCCAATAGCCCATCATGCAGCTCTAGTGCGACGTAAATTAACTACAACAACTTTCACTAACAGGTATTTTTAATGTATTTACATAATAATAATTTAAAGTATTTTCATATTCTTTTTATTATTAACGTATAATTACCGGCTTGACGGTGATTTCAATATACACTGAGTGGCCAAATTATTATGACCACCTCAGAGTTTTATGCGAATGAGGTATTGCGTCACAGCGCTTTGGCTAGAGGGCAAGATAACTATAACACGGGATTGCTGGGCAAGTGAGTCATGAGTTATACTGTGTTGCTTGCTCAGATATGTGGAAGAAAAGTGATTTAACTGAATTTCAACGTGGAATGATTGTGGGTGCGAGATGTGTCGGAACGAGTATCAGCAAAACGGCTGCACTTGTGAAGTGTTCTAGAGCAGCAGTTGCTAATGTGTACAAAGAATGGACAATCAAGCAAATAACCGAGTCTCAAAGTCAGACTTGTGGTCGTCACAGGGTACTGAATGCTCGATCAGAGAGGAGGCTGACCAGGGTTGTGCAGCGCAACAGGAGAGCAACAGTGCGACAAATTGCAAGTGATCTTAATCAAGGAGCAACTGTGAACGTCTCTGAGCTGACTGTTCAACTCACATTGCGCCGTATTGGGTATGGAAGCAGACGACTGATGTGGTGGTCATAATAATTTGGCCACTCAGTGTAAATATGAATACTGAAGAAGGAAAAGTATTGTGTGACGTCTTGAAACACGTACATAGGCAGGATATGAAAATCAAACCGACGACAAACATGAATTGAGACAGTCTTTGCAACCCATGATTGGAAAACAAACGAGTAATCCCGAATCACTAACTGATTACCCTGAAGCATCACCAACAATCAAATTCGAAGAATGACATCCACAAGGAGTGACCAATGCTCTAGGATGCAAACGACTGATTCTTGCTCGAACACCTTTATAAAAATAATTGCTATAAAAAATATAAATATGCTTTCCAGAAATATTTCGCCCACTGACGTAGCCTTGACCCCGGCAGTTTCTTTTGTCATCCTGTGGAAATTATAGAGAGGGCAAGGACAAAATAGTTTTTATTTTCCTTTTAAATGTGTTTCATAAATGTTTTTTAGCACATGCATATGTTTTTTAGAAATTTTGACACCCATCCTTTGACTTGACATTAATAAAAATCCCTCTTGAACCAAAACTATTGAAGTGTCCGTCAAATGGCCCACTCAAACGCGGCTATTAATAATAATTAGAAAACAGAGAAGAGCAATGCCTAGAACCGAAATAGACAATAGTATACAGCAAATGTAGACTACACAAAGTTTTATTAACATGCCTCATATCATGTTTGCATCATCATCGGTTTTAGCGCCACCTGTTCTTAATATAAAAAGTGACAAGAGCGAAATAGTTTTTTTTTTTTTTTAATGTTTCATTATTATTTTTTAGCATATGTATGTGTTTTTAAAATTTTTGACACCTAACCTTTGATTTGATATTAATATCTTTTATCTCCTTTAAACCAAAATTTTTTTAGAAAAACAATAAGTGTCCACCAAATTAGCTTCTCAAAAGCAGCTACTGATAATAATTTGCTAACAGAGGAGAGCAATGCCAATCACAGACATTGACAACAGTATATAGTAAATATTTTAACCATATTTGCATCATCATGGATTTTAGCGACACCTATGCTTGTTTGTAGTTCTATAAACATGAAGTTTGGAACCTAAAGACTGTCCGCTAACTGTATTAGGTACATTTATCAGAGTGGATTTGTAGTTTAGGGAATTTTCAGAACTATTGAATTAATTTTAAAAAGAAAAATTAATATTTTCTTAAAGCGCCGGGATAGCCTGGTCGGTAGGGCACTGGATCCATGTCCAAGAGGGCGTGGGTTCGAACCCCTTCGGCTGAAGACTCCCCATGTAGTAAATGGTGACTGATTCACGTAAAATCTGTCGAGTCACAAAGTCCTCCATGTTCCCATACCTCTGGGGGTACTGATCCAAGAGTTTCCTTCTCTTCTGGATTAGGTTCAAAATTACAAGACTACGGAGTTGAACATTAGTAGTCGTAATCCCAAAATTGGGTCGGCTGTTCAACGACGGTTATGAAATAAAATAAAACATTTTCTTAAACCGTGAGATTATGTAGAAGTAAGAAATAATTTATAGTTTAATTTCTATCATTTTGAATGCAAAGGAATTTTGTTTTCTTATTTATTAAAGTTTATTCAAGAGTTAAATTATTTATAATGGTACCTGAATATAAATTGTGTACCTTATTTCAACTGTCTCTCGTGTTCTCTTTTTAAACTTTAAATGGTCCGCTTAGTTCTCCCTTTTAACTACAAAGTGGTCATTTTCCTCCCTTTTCTTTGGCTAGAACATGTTGGGAGTTTTGCAATTTTTTCACTACTTAAGTTTTGAGAAAATTAAAAGATTAGTTTAGAATTTTTTTTTATCTCTGTTAAGAAGTTCTGCCCCCCTGCTTGATCTGTTCATCATTTCCCATGTTTACCTTTCATTCATCTCTGCAATTCTTCATTTAGAAGTCTACATTTTTTAAGGATGAAAAATACAACGATCATTTTTTTTACAATATATATAACTAATATAATTTCATGTAAAAATATTTTGTTTACGTATTAATCATAACAAAATGAAAGATTATTTGAAATTGAGAAACACTCTAAGAAATATATTTAAACCAAGGTATACAGTCCCTGGCCAAATTATTAGACGCACTATTCAGCTTTACGCACTACACAGCTATTATACAGCAGCAGTCACACACTATACAGCAGCAGATGCACTATACAGCTTTATTGCTTTTACGCGTCTGAAATCGTTTTACATTTGCCAATTGTTAATTATTGTATTGAAATGCGTTGAAAATAAATATAAATAGCAAATATATAAAAAGTCTCCTGAATAAAACCCCATTACATGTATGTTTAAATATAAAAGTATTGCATACAGACTCGTGCTAAACATGTAATTATTAGAGAACTACAGTGCGTCTAATAATTGGGTCTAATTATTATGATATGCTAATATAATACCTGATACTACAATAATTATTCTATATTTATATAATATATTGTCTAGTGTGTCCAAGCGTCGAATTTATACAATATATCGTCTAGTGTGTCCAAGCGTCGAATTTATATAATATATCGTCAAGTGTGTCCAAGAGTCGAATTTATATAATATATCGTCTAGTGTGTCCAAGCGTCGAATTTATATCATACATCGTCTAATGTGTCCAAGAGTCGAATTTATACAATATATCGTCTAGTGTGTCCAAGCGTCGAATTTATATAATATATCGTCTAGTGTGTCCAAGAGTCGAATTTATATAATATATCGTCTAATGTGTCCAAGCTTCGAATTTATATAATATATCGTCTAGTGTGTCCAAGCGTCGAATTTATATAATATATCGTCTAGTGTGTCCAAGCGTCGAATTTATATCATACATCGTCTAATGAGTCCAAGAGTCGAATTTATATCATACATCGTCTAATGTGTCCAAGAGTCGAATTTATATAATATATCGTCTAATGTGTCCAAGCGTCGAATTTATATAATATATCGTCTAGTGTGTCCAAGCGTCGAATTTATACAATATATCGTCTAGTGTGTCCAAGCCTCGAATTTATATAATATATCGTCTAGTGTGTCCAAGCATCGAATTTATATCATACATCGTCTAATTGAACCCATTGATACACGAACGTAAACAAGTGCAAACCGGTTTTAGTAGAGTAAAAACAATAAAGCTGTATAGTTATCACCTGATAATTAAGATTTTACATAGAATCTTACAGTGCGTCTAATAATTTGGCCAGTGATTGTATCTACATTTTGTTAATTGTATTTTCTTCACTGAAATTTGAAAGCACGAAAGTCAATTGTGTAATAAAATATTTATTCTATCACTGATCGGATGACTCATAAGTTAAAAAAAATGTGCAATAAATACAAAGAATGACTCTCTTCTAGAAGAAGGGCCACAAGTCCATATTAAATAGGTTAGATCTCTGCCTCTGTCTCTGGATGACTCTGTTGATGGAATGAACTAGGCCGTTGGTGGCTAGAATATCACAGTGGAGTGCACGGGCTCTTCCAAATCGAACCCTGTCTCCGATTCCCCGATGGAGCGGAAGAATACTGCCGTCGAATGTTCTGACAAACTGTCGGTGGAAGGGTGACGAATGTGGAACACCGTTGCAGCACAGCACTTCTGAAAATGGAAGGCAATTCAGTCAGTGAACACAATTTTCGGAAAAACCTTTTTTCACTAACATTAAATAATAAATTAAAAGCAAAATCATGGGGTAAGTCACGTGTTTTCTAAAGTATGAGGGATGAAGCCAGGATAGCCTGGTCGGTAGGGCACTGGTCCCGTGTTCGTGGGTTCGATCCATGTCGTCCGAAGAATCCCCGTGTAGTAAATGGTGACTGATGCACGTAAAATCTGTTGAGTCACAAAGTCCGCCATGTTCCCATAGCAAATCAATACCACGGGGGGTACTGATCGTGGATGTTCCTTGTCTTCTGGATTGGTTCAAAATTACAAGGCCACGGAGTTGAACATTAGTAGTTGTAGACCCATAAAATTGGGTCGGCTGCTCAACCACGAATATGAAATAAAATTAGATACGAGAGCTAATTGCTCGGGGAATAGAGCGTTCGCCTGCCATTTAAAATGCGGATTATGCACAAAGTAATTAATAAATTAGACAATGAAGGAGATAAAGAAATATTTTACTATGAAACAAATAAAAAACATTTAGATTTAGTCAAGAGCTCAAAAGTGTAGGAAAGAACACGAAAGAACAGAGGTAAATAAAAAGTGACTGGAATTTACAAAAGTATTTCGAAATTTTAAAAAGGGTGACTTTGTGAACAGTGTCACGACAAGAAATGTTTGTTACAATAATGTCACAGGAATGTTTTTTTAAAAAAGGGTTTATTTCCCATCAAATAGATCAGGGGTCTCCAACAGGCTGCCCGCGGGCCGCATCGAAGCCTTTTTTTGTGGCCCGCGAACTAAAATATATTAGTTTTCATAGCGGACAATTTTTTGTAAAAAATCTATAAGGGCTTAAAATACTTTTCTCGTTTAAAAGAAGAAAAAAGAAAAAAAACTAATTTTTTTTGTCATTTGTGAAATTTAACATTCCAATGGTGCAAAAAATTTATTTCTCAAGTTTTGCATCCAAGAAAATATTTATTCAAATACAAAAATAATCGTGTATGTTATTCTCTTTTTTTAATTTTTTTTTATTTTGTGAAGATAATTTAGCTTGTGCGTATCAGAAATTCTCCAATTTAGCTTTCTGAAACCACTCAGTTTGGACGAAATTTTTTACATTTTTAAATTTTAAAGTGCATAAAAGAGGAAATGAATATCATGTTTTATCTAAATTCCTTGAATTGAATATCGCATGAGCGGAGAAGGAAAAAAAAATTAATTTCAGATGCTCGAGAATTTTTTAGTTGTTGCTATAATTCCTAATAAGTCGAAAAAATTTTAATTTATCACAGAATTAAATTTGAAAGTAAAAAAAAAATACTGTCACTAAGTTTCAGATTAAGAGAAGATTCAAAATGATACGTAACAAGCATTATTTGTAATGCTTGTTATTTTGTTTTTTTTAGTGTTAAAAGAACTTTTATAAAAATCTGACGGCAATCTTTAATGTTCCTTCAAACATAAAAGAGTCCTACATAAAATTTTGATAAAGTTGTGGCCCGCCATTTGACTGGTGTTTTTAATTGCGGCCCCCGGCCTCAAGTAAGTTGGAAACCCCTGAAATAGATGTACAGTTTTAGAACTGGTAAACATTATTTTTGTTTTCGCAAGCACTAATTTTGTGCTGCTCGCTAACTAAGTAGCAAAGAAAGCACAATTTTTTGGTACCCCAACAGTTTAGAATCAGGGTTACAGTAAGCACAAGGTTTGAATTAAACGGACATGTTTTACCTGGAAGTACGTGAAGTTTCAAGATATCTTCGGCTAGTGTATTGTTTTCGAGTAGATCATCGAGTGAGCTTTCTGTCATTCTCTCGAAGGCGTCGTCGGTGGGAGCGAGAAACGTGAAAGGTCCATCCTCCTTCAGTTTCGATTCTAAATCTGTATTTTTAAGTAACTTCATCACAATGCTGTGATCCGGCATGTCTTCGAGAACTTCAGCTATACTTCCTTTGGGAGGAATCAGCACCTATCGAAAACACGAATAAACGTTATAAACAACAAATTAGAGCTGCAAAGATAATACCCAGATAGCAAAATAAGGTTTATTTTCCCTCAGCAAAACCCTTTTAATGTAAACCTAAAAAGATTTTTAATGCGGCTTACGTCCCAGAAAGCATTTAACCTAACGGTAACCTTGTCTCGGAATTTTCTCTTTTTCTTATCACGAAAATGTTTGTACTAGTAAAAACTTGTTTTCAAATAAAGTAAAAATACTGCATTTTCAAGCCTTTCATCCTGAGAAGATTAAAAATTATTTTTAAAGCATATTTTAAACAGTATACTGACTCAGATATAATGGTTACTTAGGTCCATAATGACATATTAGCTGACGTCACACTAGCGATAGGACCAAATGCATTGTCCATTAAAATTTCATGACAAGGTGGATTTTAGTCGAGCATACAAGACTTTTTGAAAAGAAACCTTATAATGACCTAGATTTAAAAAGGTAAATTTTAGGTAATAGGTAATTACAGCATGAATTTTCCGTGCGATTTAATGATGTAAAAATATCGTAAATTATTTTGAGATATATAGATTAGCTAATAAGATATCAGTTCTAGAAATTATCTGTTGATATTGTTTTATCAACTAAATTCTTGTAATTCAAAAAATTAACTTTGTTTAACACTATTCAACATCGCTAGCTTTAGGTCAAAAATGTCCCATAATTTTCTTAAGCTTTAAAAACAAAAAAAGAGGAAATTAAAAATATTACTGACCAACATGACCAAGAAGAAACAGTATTCTCCGAACAAAACTTTGATGAGAATAATTTTATTTTGATGGAAGATAAAGCATCGGAGGACAATGTGAAAAATATTAAAAAAGAACAAAACTAATTGACACGAATTCGACAAAGAACACAGCTAAATTTTCTTTTTAAACTTTAAAAAAATCAAAGTTCTAAATTGGAAGTTTTCGAACGAAGAATCTTTTTTAGTTCAACCAGCATCAAAATACGCGGAAATAATCTTGCAAAAACAAGAAAAAAAAGTTACAGCTAGTTGATCATAATCAAAAAGATACAAAAAAATGGCATAAAAGATGTTTGAGATAATATAGAAGCCAATATGCCAAAAATAAAATCACATGGCTCGAATCGTTAAATAACTATAGAATGTAATTTTAAAAAAAGTAAAAACGAAACAAAAATTGTAACACTACTAAATCAAAATTTATAATAATTACAAAAAATGAAACATTACTACGCTGAAATATCTATAATATTAAATCATTTTAAAATACATAAATCAATTTAACTGTACGTTAAAATGTACGTATTAAATTGAATTTAAAATATATTATTGCAAACTTGTAATAAAAGTAATAAATTTTAAAAGAATATTTTTTTAGTGGAAATGATTTATTCCAATAAATTACTATTTGTAATGTGGTAGTGGAAAGGCTATATTTATTAATAATTCATACATTTTTTAATTTTTGTTAATTTATTAGGTGCACTGAATTATTTTTTTTTTGTATAACTGTTGTTTTTTGCTAACTTTTATATTTGTTTTATTAAATATTTAGTTTTATTTTTTATAATTTTATTACTTTGTTTTGATTATTATTTCCACATATGTCAAAAACATACCTTATTATTCTTGTTTAAAAATTCTAAAAAATATTATTATCATAAATGTTATTCAATTTTTAAGTTATGCAATTGTTTATTAGAAGTTATTAAATTTTGCCCAAAATACCCGAAACTTTTTCCCAACTTGTTAAATGCTAATGATAAAATATATAAATGAAAGCTTAATAATCGATGTTGTAAATATTTTTTTTTTTAATTTTAAAAAATGAGTAATTTCGTCATTAAGGGTAGTCAAAGCTTATCTTAAATTTCGCCGCTAATAGGAAAACGCGAAATTGGGTATTTGCACTTCAAGAAGAAGACTTTCCTTACCCGCACACGTGACCTATGACGTCACCGCCAGCCAATCTTTAGCAACAAAATGCAAATTCAACACGTTAATTAAAGTTTAAACTATTTTTTCCACGTAAGTTAGCTTGTTAATTAACTATAAATTAATTAAATACAGAGCCGTATCTCACATCGAATTAGTTAAAATATAATTAATTCTCGTCTGCTTCTTCTACTTAACTTAGATTTATTATCTGCTTATGTGTTTTATAGTAACCGTGATATATTTCGTTTTTTGTACCTGGCAACTTCAGTGCATAATTAGTTTGTTTATGTTCCACAAAGCTTCACGCCGGTCTTTATGTTAAGTATCTGTGTAAATATATAGTGAAAGAATTAAAATCTTTGAGAAAGAATTTAGAATGTGTCACTTAAGAGGCTTGGATTACTTGAAATAGAATGGAAAGAACAGTTTCTAACGTAAGCAAATGCCAGGTTTCAACAGCCAATCAGGATAGCGATACCCACACTACATCACTTGTGAGTATCCCATCCTATAAAAAGCATTTTATATGTTTTTCAACTTACTATCATCGCCAAATATAGGAATAAGTAGCCAGCATTGCTCAGCATTCTTCTTTTTTTCGTCACGTGTTGAGTGACGCAAAAATCTGATTTATCAGACAGGTATTGGTTTCAAAGTCAGTGTGATTTTACCATTGCGAGAGCAGTTTACTTATATTATCAGTCAATGCAATCGTCCCATTGTTCCTAGTGATTGGGGGCGCGACATGGAATGTCTTTATTAAATTGCACTTAACAAGAATTGCATTTTACCTTGTTTATTTTGTGAATCACAGCACCACAGGCTTGGTTATCGTGGCTCATCAGGAAAGCACACTGTACTGTTGCCCCAGTCACAATACCGGGAAACTGAAAACACAAAAAAATGGCATCATTATTTGGTTAAACTGTATCAAAAAACTTTTTAAATTTATAACATGCATTTTAAATATTTCAACTCTCTGCATTCTTTTTTGTTGGTTAACTACTGGACTGCATAGATACTTACTGGTAAAACTTGAATTATGAATGAATTGCATTTGTATTAAGAGTTAATGAAAATAAAAAACGAATTCCAGAAAAAATAAATAATTATTATAATTTTTTTTATTTTTTTAGAAATCAGAATTCTTTTCTTCCTCTTTAAAAAACCTCAGCCATCTTTTAATGATAACTCTCGTGATACTGTGCGATTTTCTAGCCAATAAAAACGTATTGACTAACAATGGAAAACTGCGATACCATTAATAGATTTTTATTTATAGTAATATGCCGACCAGGTGGCCGAGTAGTTAGTGCGTCTGACTGCGGAGCCATTGGCCGCGGGTTCGAATCCTGCTCAGAACATGGATGTTTCTTTCTCACTCTGTGTTCTATGTCCTTTCCTCTTTGTGGGAATGTGACCCGCCCTATAAACGGGTTTGTGATTGGGTGACGTAGGCGACGCTGCTCCACCGCCGTGGCTTCGAAACAGGTGCCCACTGGTTAACGAGAAGAGTGTAGCAGTTCTGGCATTTCTGTGGCCAATGGGACAAACTCCAAGTGCCCGCCATTAAAAAAAAAGTTTTTTTTAAGAAAATATAGTAATATTTTACACTATACTATATAAAAATGATTGAACAGCGTATATGAGAGGTCATATTGTTTCAGCCTCTAGTTCTCTCATGCTTTTAGAAGGTTGGCAAAACTACCAATAACAACTACCAATCAGTTTTCATCTGTTTACCACTTTATAAAATATTTTGCAAAAAGCGTTGTAGTTGACATTCCTGATGAGGTTCCATGTATACTAAAAGCGAACAGCTGAGAAATTAGTAGTTCATTTATACTGGATTCAAAGTTATTATTATTTTTTTTCTTGCAGTTATTTAAATAAATGATGCAAATGATTTTTAATCTATGTGAATAAGTTAAAAAGTATGTAATAAGGACTTTTAAATTAAAAAAAGGAAGTAAGACACATTGGAAAGGAGTGTGCAGGGAGAGTTGTTATGGACCATGTCAACCTTCATCTTTGAAAAGTTACCCCACCATAGAATCTAGTTAACATGTCTTATATAGTAGTGAATTGGAATCGTATTTTTGTATTGGTAGATACACTGCAGTGCTCCCCCACCGGAATTATAGCTGTGATAGAATTCTATGAACAGATACTACTAAGAGATTCATTGCTGCTTTGTGAGAAGCCGGGAGAAATGTATTAAAATCACCGTATTTTTTAGTGCTGATCGTGAGACCTGTATTAAGCTCACTGTCGTGGTCGCTCCTGTGTTGCTTTTAGCAGTCGAGTGAATACGTTGTACGTTATGTGTGATCGAAACTGAGTAGCAACAGCACGAGGTGGTGGATAATGTCGCAGTCACGTGTAACAAGTCAGCTGCTCAATGTAGACAATCCTTCGAAGTAGAAGTGTTTAAATCGATGTGGAAGTTTCTGTCAAGGTAGGCGAGTTCACATCACGAAGGTTACCAATGTGGGGAGAGAAATTTTCGAAAATGTCAACATTCATCTCTGAAAAGGTACCCCATCATAGAATCGAGATAACATATCTTATATATTAGTGAATTGGAATTGTAGTTTTGTAATTTTAGATACGCTACAAGTGTTTATAATGAGTCATTTCGCTAGAATGAATAATAGGAGTGGTTCCAGTAACAGTGAAGGAGTTGCACAGTAATTTCAACATTAAATTGCAACTTTCTTAAAAAAGATAAGCATCTAAAGAAATTTGAAAACTGAAAATATAAATTTCTAAAAAAAATTCGCTATAAGGTGACAACCAGTTCGTAATAGGGAGAATAAATAGAACGTTATTTAACGTTTCGATTTTTAAAAAAAATTGTCATAGGACGAAATTAGCTGTAAGTAAACTTGGTTGCAAAGAAGCTCTACATCTCTATTTAATGAACAACGTATAAAAAAAGGTATGTACTATATGAAACCATATTTCCAACTATGGTATTAAGTATTTTTTAATAAATTTGGATATAGTTAACCATCTTTTATGGAGAACTTATAGCTTGTTCCAACCGAAGCATTCTTACCAATTCATGCAATTTCAAGTGAAGGCTATGCCCTCCCATAGTTGTAAGTTTGGAATTATCCAAGAACTTGCTGGAAGGCAGATGATCTTGCACTAGATGATGTTGCAGAACGCTTTTCAAGTACTCCGGATTATTCAACAATTCTTCTTTTGTTTCATTCGACAAGCTCTGGAAAAAACAATAAGCAATTTATAATAGAGCAACCAGGAGTAAAACTAGTGGGAACACAGTCTGAAGGTAGCATTTACTTTTATGGCTTCTTTTGTCGGCAGGAAGAAAGTGACGTTCTTTGATTGTTCCAATTCTGAAAGGAGGTCGGAAGTTTCAATTAAATCAATGATGTCTTGTCTCTCTTCTTCTTCCAGTGCTTTCAAAATGTTTCTTGCTAAAAAGAAAGAAGAAAACTTATGTTACAACCTCAATTTTATTTTTTTCTCACTTTTACGTAATTAAACATTCAACAAATGATATTCGCCTCACACATTTATATTAAAAACATTCCTTTTTTCTAGGGTACGTATATTGCCTTAAACTAGTTCGTTGAAAGCAGTTCAAAGTTGTTAAACCAGTTCATTCTAGTTCTCTCCTGTGTTGCTATTAGCAGTCGAGTGTGTTCAGGATTCCGTTATGTGCAAATGAGACTGAGAAGCAGCAACGCGAGGAGGACAATGTTGCAGTCACAAGTAGCAAGGCAACTGTTCAATGTGGACCCTCCATCGAAGTAGGCTTGATCATATCACGTCCGGGTCACTAATGTGGGGAAAGACCATTAGACAATAAAAATCTTTATCTATCAATAGGTACCTCTGATTGAATCAAGTTACCATGTCTTATATGCTAGTGAATTGATGTTTAATAATCCTAGTTATGCCACAGATTATAATTTGCATCTTACAACCACTTGATCTGTTTTATTGGCACTAACTATAGGGAAGAGTTTCGTCTCGCGATTAAAGCATGATACAAATTGACCTATTGTATGCCAAAATAACTGATTAAGTAGGAATGAAAATTAGTTACATCAGCGATTCTCCTCAACAAATTATGACTAAGTTTTTTTTAAGCAAATTAAATTACAATTAAATTTTCATTATATCAGAAACATTTCCTTTCTGGCAAGATGGAAATCAGTTGATGATCTCCAGTACTTTAATTAATTTCTTTTGTCCTTATGTAAAATACAGTTCCTTATTTAACAATTTCTACGTGGTTAGTTCACTAAAATTATTTCACGTGGATTAATCTCACCTTGTGGAGGAATCAAAACCGTATCTATCTCGTGAATGACGCCATTTGTGGCCACGATATCATTGGATTCCATTAGAGCTCCATTGACTCGCAATTTTTCCGCTTCGTCTTTTGTGAGTTGAAGATTGTTTCCCAGAATATTCCTCACTCTGTTCTGACTTATGATAGCCGCAGTGCAAATCGTTCCCTTTACAATATGTTGATGCAAAATACCTGTAACAAGAAATAACTGTTTAAACAAAGAATATATTCACTAGTTTTAGAACTATGGTTTGAAATTTAAAAAAACTGGTTAAGCAACTATGCATTAACGTTTGTTGACTGTTTTCTAATTTAGCCACATTCTATGGTACAATAGATAAAATAAAATTCAACCACAAACTAATTTCAACTCTCATTACCTAAAAAAAGCCTTACACAACCTAACTCCAAAGTCCAGTTAAATTTTATTTTTACGGTTTTCGACCCATGATAGCTGTAAATAGTTACAAATCCGTATAGTTTTGTACTCACGGTTTTTTAACCACACCTGTTGTAAACAAACACCTAAAGAGAGAGAAATGCTCCTACGCGTTAACATTACGGATTATTGGATAAACTGACTACTGCCCTTTATTCTACCTTAATTTTTGAGTGAAAATTCTAACAGTGCAGTTGTTAAAAAAATTCCAAACAAAAAATATGAAAAGCTATTGACGTAGTTATCAAAATTGGCTATGAAATGTATCAATATCTTCTCTCTGCATTTCATGATATCTGAAATTGCCTATCGGTCCAATTCACCAAAAGATAGGTGATTTAAAGGTTATATTTTAAAGGTTAAAAGTAGATAATTTAGAGGTTAAATATTATTACGTTTTCAATTTTGCTTGATTTCTAAATTAAAAGTTTAGGAGGATTGTCTTTATTATTATTATTATTAGAATAATGTAATTCTACGTTACATCTCAGGATAAAGTTATTTGAATCGGTGTCTGATCTTACTAACCATTTTGGTGCAAATTACATTAATATACTATTATGAATTTTGGTTAAAGCGATTCGTTTAGTAACTTAGAACTTAACTTTCAGCTTCATGCACAAAGTAATGAACGCAAAAATTGTATTTAAAATACATCCATCCGTTCAGTAAGCAAAAATATTAAATTACAGTTGTAAACACACCAAATTTGTTATTAAAATATACTTTTATTTTAAATGTTACTTGAAAAAAAAATGATTACTTAAAAATAATTGATGTTCACTTATAGATCTTAATAGTATCATAAGGGAAATATTAGGGCTTCGGAAGTGGAGTCACAACCATTGTTTTAAGTTCATATATTTTTAGTTGAACAATAATTTCAACGATTTATGGCTAAGAAATAGCAATCATTGGGACTGTTAAGAGTCAACGATTAATAATAGTATTGAATAAAGCTTCAAAGAGTTGCTGAAAATGTTAAAAAGATCCAATGTTACTTACTTTCAACACATCCTTCTCCTGATTCTATCTGTCTTTGCAATAGCCTCGGGAGTTTTCTGAATGCTGCATTTGTCGGGACGAACAATGTCCAAGGTAGACCGTCTTTTTGAAGAACTTCCAATAAATTACTCTCTGCCAGAACTGTAAACATTTTATTAAACACAGTAAACATTTATGCATAAAAAACCATCTTTCTAAACAAATATTTAATTGTTAAAGTATTATTATTGAATTTTATTTAATATTAAACATATATATATNGCAAGCATGGATTATATATATATATATATATATATATATACAGATATCAGATATATATATATAAAGCTGTTGTTCTGTTGCAACTATTCCGGAGAGAGACACACTTAGTTCAATTTTTTTCTTAATTTCAGTTTTATTACTTATACATAATTATTTTAAATTAGACAGTTTAAAAATTTGCGAACCTTCAATGGCTCAAACTTGTACCGTAACAGATCTAAGAAAGGATCAATAATTTCAAGAGATTATTAAATGGGATAATTCTGGTTAAACGAAGTTCCATGATTGTAATAAAAATTTTGTTAGAAGCTTTTCAAAAATTTACTTGTTGCTGCAAAATATGCCGAAAGTAGAATTCACGATAAGAAATCCTAACATTCGAGCTCTCTCCAGGCTAAACTAGTCTCGCACTGAACTGATCGTAAGGACACGGTTCCCAGTAGAACACCGAAATCAAGCATCACGGACTATACTCAGTAAGCGGGTGGGTGACCACTTAGATCAGCCTGCGTATGAACCAAGGGGGCGCGGGATTTGTCCTCGTTAAACTGTTCTTCCGTAAAGTGTTCTACTTCGCACGCAGGTCGTTGCGCCGCCAAAGCAGGGGAGCCATCCTCTTTAAAGAGGATCAAAATTGCGATGGCATGTCTTCGGATCATCCTCATGGATGTTTCCCAAACCAGCACCAATAGTCCAATTAGCAGCTCAATTGCGACGCAAATCAAGCACCTATCTATCAGACTAAACTATTGGAACCATATTTTTCCATGAGCATCCATATTTTCAGGGTCAAAAATCTGAATTTCTCAAATAATGATTATGCAAATAACAATATAAATTTTATGTTCAACCATAAAGAAACTCATTTTTTGTGTAATTCTGCAATTTAGTTTATAAATAGACCTAACAAATAACCACGAGCGTCGATATTTATTCTGAACACATGTCAAGATACATGTTTAAGACATTACATTATCATATTACAAATTATTGACAATAAGACATTATGGTCCTGCATTACAAAATTCATTTAGATTCATTAGTTTATTCTTTAAAAAAATGTACTTCTAGAAGTTAGAAAAAAAGAGTCTAACGCTTTATCCATTTTCTTAAATAGCCATGTAAATTTTCGTAAGTGCGAATTTTCAGCTCCTGCATTCAGATTAAAAAGCAGACTGATGCTATTCAATGTTTACCCATTTAATCCATTAAGAATGAATCTGAATAGTTAATAAGTGATTATTAAATCAAAAATTATTAAGAGGTGAAGTTTTGACTGAGACCATATTTCCCAGATTGCAGCTACCCTCAATATTTCGGGGATAAGAAATCCGAATCTGTGGAAGAAAAGGCATGTTTGTTCAGAGAAAGCACGTTTTTGAGTCTAATTTCGTAACTTAAACTATCGTCTACACTTATTGATTAGCACCCCTTAACATATTTCAGAAAAATGGACCTAAAATGGAAATGTTTTGACTGTTTAATTTTGTTCTTTATATTATTATAAAAGTTATAAAATGGTTTTTTATTACAAAAATAAAATTTTGAATTCATTAACTACTGCATTTATGATTTTTGCATACACATTAAAAAGTAATGGATTACATACACTTCTTATTCAATTAGAGCAAATTAAACAAAATTTTGAAGCTAAATATAATATAGCTAGTTTAATATAATATAAAAATACAAGAATAAGATTTTCAATACGCAAATTTTACAAATCTCTTCCCTCCCTCCACTGCAGTCGTAATCGGTGAAAAACTAGGACCACTAATGCCATCTATTTGGAAAATAGTGAATTAAGTATCCTAAAGAAGAAACGAACGCAGCTCGGGCTTCACAAAATAGAAACGTTAATTTTTCTTCTGCCCGAAGTCAGTTCGGGCATCACTAATATTGCACGTAGTTATTGCCCGAACTGGATTCGGTCGTCACTAGCAAGGGGTTAAGGCACCCCTCGAACCATTAAGATTGATATAGAACGAGACCCAGAACGTTAAGATCCGATCATTAGATCAAAGGTCCTTATGGGTGGTCCATTTAATTAACTGCTCACTATACATACATCAACTTCTCAAAGTTTCTGCATATTGTTTTAATACTTTACAAACTTTATTTTCCTTATAAGTGAAGAAATACTGTCATACGTTTCCTAAATTTGCTATATTCTTTGTTGTTGCTCAAAATGTCTTCCACGGATGACTTGAGCGAGGGCAAAACACCAGACACCAGGTGAACAATACCATTTGTTGCCAAATTATTTTTGCCGCTGACAGGAACGCAGTTAGCTGTTACAACCTGAAATAAAATTTCATTAGGCATTGCTTGTGCTGAAATATAAAATGAAATAAATAATATGTTTTATGCGGCATATGAGTGACATTTTTCCATTTATTCGCTACCGATGTTGAACAGCCGTCCCAATTGTTTGGTTTTTACGAATACTAATGTTCAATTCGTAGCCTTGTAATTTTAAACGCAATCCAGAAAATAAACTCCTGGATCAAGTATTGGGAGAAATTTGCCTTCTTTGGGGTTTCTTGATGGAACTAACCAGCATTTGCGTTACATGGAGAGGAAAACCACGAAAATCTTTCATGGTTAGCCTGACGGCAAGGGGACTCTAACCCATGATTCGCCTAACACTGTGGATATTTTACGACAGCACTGTAATCGGTGCGAGCTGGGTTCGGAATTCGCATTGAACAGCCATCACTAGGGTTTGATCCCGGATCATCTCATTGGAAGACGAATGTTCTATCCACTAAGCCACCACGGCTTTCTACCATTCCTTTACGGGAGTTGCCAAATCTCGGTGTTTACAACAATCCTGATAAACACAAAAGTCTCGGTGTATACAACAACCATGATAAACACAAATATTGAGCATCGATGGCTCAGGCGATAGAGCGTTCGCTTTCCAATGAGGTAATCCCGGTTCGAATTCCACATCCGGCCTGCATGAACCACAGAGCTGACGTGAAAGATCCTCAGTGGTAGACGGATCATGGGTTAGAGTCCATTTGCCATCAAACTAACCGTGGGATGTTCTAGTGGTCTTCCTCTACATGTAAGGCAAATGCGGTTTAGTTCCCTCAAAAAGTCCTACACGTAGGCATATTCCTCCTAATACTTGATCTAGAAGTTCCTTTGTCTTCTGAATCGGGTTCAAAATTACAAGGCCATGGAGTTGAACTTTAGTAGTCGTAAACTAAAAAACAATGGATCGGCTGTTGAACGATGGTTATAAAATAAAATAAAATAATAATTAAGGAATAACATCAAAACAGTTTGAAAACTGAATAAATAAAATAAAGAGCAATAACTTGTGGTTTGTGAAATCCGTATCTGAATGAGCATTTGGTGAGTTGTGTGAGTTTTTTTATAACTAGTATTTCATTGTTTGCTAGTTTAATTTATCTTGTGGTACTTTTAAGATATTTATCCTGAAAGCGTTTACTATTACGTACCTTTAGTATTACGTACTATTATTACTTACGTACTATTACGTACTATTATTACTTACGTTCTATTACGTACTATACTATTACGTACCTCGTGAGCTGGTTGATATTTATTGATGCGAATTTTGTTCTGGTCATTGAGAGTGTTCAAAAGCTCTTCATCTTCCACAGAATCAATGTTCAGGAAACCCTCCACAATATGTCCAGAAACTGTCAGAGCAATATCAGTCATCTTGGCAGGATTCATGGCCGAAATTTCGTTCTGCGAAGTAATATATTTTTTCAATCCTTTTGAACAATTATTTAAGTCAAAAAGCATATACAATAAAAGTTTCGATGAACAAAAATATTGTAAAAGAAATTATTAAAAGTATTGCCATTATTTTTTTAAGCACATAGAAATTAATAATAAAAAAATAGCACCAAGACAAAGGAGGATGAAAAGGAAGTCTGTTTGATGTATCTATTACCGTAATATTGTCGATATGCATCCTGTATTTTTCTCACCCTCTACAGTCCATGTCCAAATTATTAGACGCACTGTAAGATTATACGTAAAATCTTAATTATCAGGTGATACTATACAGCTTTATTGTTTTTATGTGACTGTTTGCTCTCGTTTACGTCCGTATATCAATTGGTTCACATTGTAATGCAATACGTAAAAATAAATACAAATAGGAAGTATATAAAAAATCTCCTGAATAAAAACCAATTACATGTATGTTTAAATAAAAAAGTATTGCATTTAAACTCGCACAAAACATGTAATTATTAAAACACTATAGTGCGTCTAATAATTCGGTTTAATTATTATAATGTACTAAATATAATACCTGATATAATAAATATTATATATTNAAGTGCACGACAGTCAAAAATTGTTAATAACTAATATAATAACATTTAAAATAAGGTATTTATTTTTTTTCAAGTGGAAGATAGTCTACTTTACTCGTCTGTCAATTAATACTAATAATATATTAGATTTTTTGTTAGTTAAAAATAGTTAAGTGAAAAATGTTACAATTGACCCCACTCTCCCTATAGTGCGTCTAATAATTCGGTTTTATTATTATAATGTACTAAATATAATACCTGATATAATAAATATTATATATTTATAAAATATATCGTTTATCCAATCGTCGAATTTATATTGTATATCGTCTAATTTAAGCCATTGATACACGAACGTAAACAAGTGCAAACCGGTTTCAGTCGCATAAAAACAATAAAACTGTATAGTATCACCTGATAATTAAGATTTTACATAGAATCCTATAGTGCGTCTAAAAATTTGGCCATGAACTGTTTCTATTACATTAATAATGCCGACATGCATCCTGTACTTTTCTCTCCATCATATATGATATGGTAATGTCCATTTCTATAGGGAGGCAGCTTGAAACTGTAGTCTTGTGAGTCACTTGTAGTTTTGTGAGTAGGACTTACAATTAAGATTATTAAAAAAAAAGTATGACGCAAAATGCTTACATCTTCAGTGTCGTCTTCAAAGTCAACGATGGCATCGTTCGAAGGCGTGAACACAGTGAGATTTTCCGTCATTAGTTTGTCTTTCAGTCCCGAACTCTCCATCCAACTTAAGAATTTCGTCATCTCTAAAGATTTCATTGTGTCATAGAGGTTTTCCATTTTCACTGGAAAAAAATTAAATATTCATAAAAAGTAGTCATATGTGTGATAATTAGGCGGCATAGTAAATTGCGCTTGACGAAACTCAATAAGAAGAAGTAATAATTGGCATGTCCGAAGTACCGTTTCGTTCTACGACCATCGCATTGACTGTCCATGTCTCTGCTTGATTGTCTGACCACCAACGCCATTACAACTGAAATTGTGTTTACATGTATGCTTAAGACGATTAGCAATAAAAATTATTTATAGTTTGTCTAAAGTAAGAACTCCCCTCGGCATCCATCTGGAGCCCCCTCCCCCTTTCTCTTTTTTCTCAAATACTGCAAATTTCGGTTATTGGAAGTACAATAATAATTAAACTACTAATGTGCATAACAAACTGTTGCATTAATGAAAATTTTGATAGATTTGAGGTAAGAAAAAACAGTTTTAATTAAATTAGCAAAACTGCAGTATGTGGCCAATATGGCTGATGGCTTTTAAGCAAATGAAAGAAAACGCAATATTTCTTATGCATTAAACGACACAAGCGTGGTCATTAGTTATTAAAATTAAATGAGAAATAAAGCTCTCGTGCGTAACGGAAAATTATCAGTTAAAATTTGGACAATCAAGTCGTTTTTCTTTCATTGAATGACAGCATTTGAATTAAGAATTATTACATGTAAAATCAGAGGATTTAATCTCCACAAATTCATTCTTGATTCAGAAAAGAAGACATTTCGTGACAATTGATGTTCATGTGGTTAAGATTCACTGAAAAAATTTGCTAATTCATTAGTATAAATTCAACGGAGAGGAATATATTTTTAAAGAATTTTCATAGAATAACATTAAAATGAAATCATCGTAATTTGTCGTATTCTGCCAAAAATGAATTATTTTGGAGAAGACTTGGCGAACTTTATGGTATGAGTCAATAAAATATTTCGAATTAAGTATCGTTTTGATGAATACTCACAGGCGCTGCATCCGGGTCGACCATCGGTTCTCCTGACAAAACCATGACAACACTGTCGTCTCACAACAATTGTTCTCCGCATTCCGTTCGTCTGAATCCTGTTAAGATCAAATGAATCATATTACGATCAAAAGAATCCTATTAAGATCAATTTAAAACTAACCAACTTTTATTCGTCACATTTTATAACGTTTGAAATATAAAACAAATGTACTAAAAAAATTTCAGTAGAATTATTATGTTTTTAAATGTTTAAGCACAGTTGCACTAAACTAGACCTACTATTTCGGACATTTACCAAAGCGACTATGTGATTGTTAACATTTGCACATTGCAGTAAATAACCCCCAATTTCGGTCATAAACAGTAAGATATGCACCAAGCTCGGTGAGAATAATTTGAGAGTTGCAAATTTGTATAAAACAAAAACCATACTATTTTGCAAACAGACGAAATTTTTTAAAAAGTCTTTCAATTTTTTCTTAGATTAAAATTACTCTTTAAATCGTAAACTTTATTCACATAAATTCCTATTCGAATCTTCAGAAAGGCGGACATTTTACGACAATGAAAGGAAAGGACTACTATCGATTATAGTATAAAAGTAGTTTTCTCCTGTATTTGTGCTTCATTTACATCCGTTTTTGAAATCCAAATNGTAATTTCTCGTTCGAGGTATTTTTTTTATAACGTCTGACAATTTTTCTGTCGAAAAAAAACGAATGAAACTTTGCACAAAGTAGCCCCACAGTGCATTTTTTTCATTTTCCGTTTATTTGTTATAAATTTTCAATTTTTTTTAACGCTAACATGATATAATTGCTTATTAATATATAAATAAAAATTTTTGCACTTACGACAATTGTTTTATCAACGTATATGCATTTCACAGCTAAAGTTTCCACGCTAACTTTTCGATGTCCGACGTTCTCGGAAAGTTGTTGACATTGGATAAACAAAACACATTCAGAGATTGTTTTAAAATTCGAAAAAATGTTTGTAGTAATAGAGGAGACTTCTGTCTTCAAATTCCACACATTTTTAACGTGAAAAAAAAACATAATACTGAATAGCAGCACTTGAAAAGTGCCTAATTCGAATTTGCACAAAGTAGCCCCCACTGCACAAAGTAGCCCCACATGACGGTATATGTTTGCCCGGGGATGGCTACGAGTTATACCTTTCGAGTGGGTCCCTTTCTGTAATATTCTTTTTAGTTTCTCACGGAGCCGCTGCCCGGAAGTTGCCAAGATTAGGCAATTATCACGATACGGAAATCTCCCCGTATGGAATACTGGGAAATTATTTAAACCGACAAAGAGCCCTTAACATTTAAAAACATAAAAAAAACTGTCTAAGGAATACCATGAAAGCATTCAGAGAGCAATGGCACGTTACCAAAAGATAATCACCAGTGTAACGAGGAATACTGGGAAATAACCAACGCATTCTTGCCTGATTATTATTTTCCGATTAATTTGGTTAACATTTAATCTTAACTGACCTATGCCGCCATATAAGTGATATGGCACTTGTTGGATTCAATACCACGAATGTGAAAGCTAAAATCATTTTATTGTTTTTGTCACACTTATAGTTGTCATATTTGCAGTTCATTTTAGTGTAAATAATAATTTCAATGAATTATTATAATGAAACATTATAATTAATTGTTATATTTGCTAGTTATAAATTATTATTATATTTGCTAGTTGTAATAAATTATTTAAATTATTGAATGAAATCTTTAATTATTGAATTTCCGGAATGCTACTGTTTAATATCCGTCAATTATCAACAATGCTCATATTTTTTGGTAAATATGATAAATAAAAGCTCGTTTAACACGTTGTCAATTATATACTTGCCCAGTCACACTTGCTTCAATGTTTTTTTTGGTTGAAAATTTTAAGAGTTATTGCCTTGCCCGATATTTCCTACATTGATATTTTTCCTTGGAATTTACCCTTCTAGGTATAACTTGAAATGGAAAGGTGGCGCATTGTAGCGACACAATGCGTCAATAAAGAAATAAGATATAACATGTGCAACATAAAAAAGAAATAACGTGTGATAAAAAGCATAATTTTATTCTCTGTTTTTTCCATTCCTTTGTTAACCATCTGAGGAAGGCATTGGCNCGAGTAGGGCACCCTATAGTTTCAACCTTTCCCCCTCATGTGATTTTTTTTACTCCTGGAGGACGACTTTTACAATTAGGGAAAATGTCTGTGAATGAAATACCAGGCGAAAGTACTTGAAATTAAAATTAACGTCAGTGTAGAGTGTAAGTGTACTGTATTTTCGTATCTTGATCTGTCTCGCCAACTACAATCGCCAAGGTGCCAAATAGATTTTAAACTTGCAATTTTTTAAAAAAAAGAATTATGTATTTGTTTGCCCGGGGATGGCTACGAGTTATACCTTACGAGGGGGTCCCTTTCTGTAATATTCTTTTTAGTTTCTCACGGAGCCGCTGTCCGGAAGTTGCGAAGATTTGGCAATAATTTTGACCTGAGATCACGATACGGAAATCTCCCCGTAACGAATACCAGGAAATTATTTGAACCCAAAAAGATCCCTTAACCTTTAAAAACATTAAAAAAAACGGTTTAAGGAATACCATGAGAGCATTCAGAGAGCAATGGCACGTTACCAAAAGATAATCACTAGTGTAACAAGGAGTACCGGGCAATGACCAACACATTCTTGCCGGATTATTATTTTCCAATTAATTAGGTTATCATTTACTCTTAACTGACCAATCCTGCTATGTAAGTTGTATGGTTTTTATTGGACTCAATGCCTCGAATACGATGGATAAAATCATTTTATTATTTTTGACACACATATAGTGGTCATATTTGCAATTAATTTTATTGTAAATAATAATTTCAATTGATTATTATAATTAAACATTATAATTAATTGTTATATTTGCGTATTATAAATTATTACATTTACTTATTATAATAAATTATTTCAATCACTAAATAAAATCTTCAATTATTGAATCCTGAAATATTTCCGGAATGTTAATGGTTAATAGCCAGTAATTATCAACAATACTAAAATGTTCTAGTAAATATGATAAATAAAAGCACATTTAACGCATCGTTAATTATATATTTGCCCTGTTTTCTCTTGTATCAATGTTTTTTTAAACTTTTTGAGTTATTGCCCGATATTTCCAACATTGATTTCCTAAAAGTCTACCCTCGTATTTATATCTTGAAATTGAAAGATGACGCATTGTAGTGACACGTCAATAAAGGGATAAATTCTGATAAAAAACATAATTTTGTTCTTTGTTTTTCCATTCCCTTCTTAACCATTTGAGGAAGGCATTAGCCCACATTGGGCTGTCAGGCCAACTATAATGCTGATGATTATTAATCCTTTTTAGATCGACTCACAGAGATTTAAACTTACTATACAGAGAAAACTTAAAAGGCTCTATGTTGGCTTTTTAAAAGCTTTCCAAAAAGACGAAATACTATACTCTTTTTGTTTTATTTTTAATTTAATTATAAAAGACTACGATAGCCTGATGATGAAAAATTAATCATCTATGAAAATGATATTATTTATATCATTTCAGTTCAAACACGATACAGATATTGAATCAGGAAGCGTTTGATTTTCATAAGACTGGACACAAATGATCAGTTTTGAGCACAGGGGGGGAAAAAATTAAATCGGACAAAAAAGATTCTGGTTAAATTAAAATAAATGCTCTGTGTGCTGCATTTTAATTAAATCAATAAAATTCTTATTTAAACCCCTATTTCCTGATTCGTAAAGAGAGTGCTCAAATGATTAATCAATGTAGACCATCATATGACTAATTATTCGTATTAAATGTATCGGAAAAATAGTTCATCTATCAGTTAGATCATGCGGGTCAGGCAATTGTTGACTCAATAAAATTTTATAAAAAAAAGTTTATCTGCATCATCAGTAAAATGGAACCAGGCATCCATTTTCTGACGTTATAACCATATAATTTCTTGTATCTAAGCGAATTTTCATAGTACAATTAGAAATCAAATGTTGGAACAATCATGAATAATCATCATCTCAATGTAGTAATTCGGACTGGTTTATGATAACATAAAAACATTAAAAATTGTTTTGATGGTTTATTCCTGAGAACCAACAAAAATTTTCATTAAACCATTATGAAAATTTACAGTTGGAACCATCCTGGATTGTTGGTCCTTAAACTTGATGGTTAACCGTCATAATATTGATGTTGCATTTTTAATCATGGAATGATGGAAATTAGTTGGTATATTAAAAACCATGAACGCATAATGGAAAATGTTGGATGATAGTGACCATCAAATGATGCTGGACTATCATAAATGCCACTGAAACCACCGTAAACCATCAAAACATTTTGATGGAACCATCAAGAATTTTGGCTTGGATTAATTTTGCCTTACACCACTGTATGCAAATGTAGTTTAATTTAATGAAAGTGAAATAAAGAATATTAATTAAAGGGGGAAAATTAAAATTATAGAATTTAAAAAAAAAACATTTTTTTCAGTTTAATCACCCAGAGTTTTTCTCATACAAAATTCCTGATGGTACCATTAAATCATATTGATGGTTTATATTAGTTTCAGTACAATTCATGTTTGTCCAACATCATTTGATGTTCATCATCCAACATTTTCCATTATGCATTCATGGCTTTTGATATGCCAGCAAAATTCCATCATTCCATGATGGAAAATGCTTCTTCAATACTATGATGTTTAACCATCAAGCGAAGTTTGATTCTCATGATCATGATCCATCATTTCATGATGATCCGTGAATGTACATGATGGTTCCAACTGTACATTTCCATGATGGTTAAATGGGAAAAACCAAATTGCTTTGATGGAATATACCATCAAAACAATCTGTTATTTTTATGTTGCCCCATCATAAATCAGTTCGAATTCTTGCATCGGGATGATGGTAGTTCAAGATCGTTCAAACATTTGATTTTTACAAAACTATGATGGAAATTTCTGATGGTTTAACATGATCAAACCTTCAAAACAAATTGCTATTCTTATGCTAGACAATCATAAATCAGTCCAAATTCCTACATTGGGTGATGGTTACTTATGTTGGTTACCGTCTAAAATATAATGGTTCATAATAGAATAATTGATGGTTACTATCAAGATTATGTTGATCCATCAATGGAAAACCATCAAAATATGTGACTTGAGCGTTACTACTTTTGCTTTTATGAAGAAAAAAAAATGGTGTGGTAAAAAATGCTCACCCTTGCCACCAGGGAGTCAAGAGTCCGAATGTGAATGAAAACGGGACGAAGGTTTGAGGTTTCTTTTCCGGTTCGAACACTTCTATTTCTTCTTCATCTTCTGTTTCTCGTTCCACAGGTATACGGATGAGATTTTTCTTGGGTCTCGTCTCGAGCTCTCTGTTCCTGTGACCCCATGGGGTGAGCCTGGTGAGTGCCCGGGTTGCCTGGGGCATCACGTGTTGGACAGCCACTGAAGCCTGAGAAAACTGGTCGGATAGATCGCGGGCATAATCACCCAGTCCTACGAGGCTGAAAAAAGAATATCATCATTGGTCAATATAAATCAATATCAATTTAAAGCTATTATGTTTTTTCGACATTATTAAAAAATATTTGAATGGCACTCACAAAGTAGCCATGCCGAGAAATAATATCCAATCTTTTATTTTTGCACATAATTATTAAATTCGTTTATCCAAAAACAATTCCGTACAACCAATTAAATAATAATTTTTTATTATTTTATTTCATAACACTCGAAAAAAAATTTGAATTATAAATTCTACAAGTTTCTACATTACTTTAAGGAATATATTTTTATATGGCTTACTATAAAAATAGTAAAATATTGATTATATAGATCCTCAAAAATTGAATTTTAAAAAAAGTCATGAATTTAGGAAAAAGTTATTAGCGCAACGCTACGATGAAATTTTTTTCTCTATTTGGTGTCCTCATGGAACGAAAAAAATTCAAATTTTACCATATTCTAGTATTTATGACCATATCTTTCTTACTCAGTGTGTGTGTAAATATACTTAAACTTTTTAGAATCTATTAATTGAATACCCTTTAAATTAGATTTAACAACATCTTTATGGTTTAGAAATTAAATAAAATGATTGTGGAGATTTAGTGTCGAAGCAAGCAAGAAAAGAGCTCTCTAAGTTCAAATATCATCAGTGAACTTTCTATTCTGGACCTTTCTCGAGCTGCAAATTTAAAAAAATAGTCACATCTCGAAATCTGGGTTAAAGAAAAAACATTTCCATAAAAGGTGTTTAAGGAGACGGAATCGAGTTCTATATCCATTTTCTTAAAATTGCTATGTCTATTTTCTTAAAATTGCTATGTCCATTTTCTTAAAATTGCTTTGCCCATTTTCTTAAAATTGCTATGACCATTTTTTAAAAATTACTATGTCTACTTTCTCAAAATTGCTATGTCTATTTTCTTAAAATTGCTATGTCCATTTTCTTAAAATTGCTATACCAATTTTCTTAAAATTGCTATACCAATTTTCTTAAACAGGCATTTCGAGTGGTGTCCATTTCCAAACACGCATGTACAAATGTGTCCATTTTTTAATACACGCATTTTTAGCAAAGCTGAAAAGCTCACCGAGCCTATAATTTTAATGAAAATTTAAGAGGATAAATGTTAAGTTTGACTATCTTAAAGAATAGCTAAAGTAATTTTCAATTGCAAAATCTGTGTGAACTTGAAATAGATGAGGAAATTAACGAAAAATGTTTTTCCTTTTTTTTTTTTTTCTTTTAAGGAAAAAAAAGTATTCTTTGGGGTAGAAAAGTGTAGATATTTTTTTCTTCTTTTGTATGGGGGGAAAAAGAGTGAAGGTGGTTCGGAGGAAGGTCATTGTCCTGTTGACCATGAACTTCCGCAAAACTTGTTCCGAACTTCCGCCCACGCCTCTCTCTTGTCTGGGAAGTCATCACTGTGTCCTCCTCAGGTGATTCTTCCCATTTATTACCTCAATGCTGCCATAGTTCGCTTTTCTTATGGTCTCATATGCAAATTATATTATCTTCCTGATTTTTTTATTCATTTTACATCATGCATTTTTATTCATGCATCTACAAATAAAAATATTAACGACAAAATTAATACTCATCTGGAATAGTTTTTTCCTTTAAAGAATAATTATAATCCGGCATTTTTAACTAACTAAAATGACGAACTTGACCATTTATTCCTTAAAAGCTAAATTTAAATGGAACAAAATAGTTTTTGAAAAAGGAAAAAATGTCCATATGCATTTATTTATACGGTAAGATGCTACTTGAATCTTTTGTATCGTGTCATTTAAATTTCTTTTTTTCTCTAAATTAATTTTTCCACATTAGGTGAAAATGAAGCTAACTTCTAAGAAAATGATTCAATAAAAGGCAAAATACTTAAAGTTGGGGTAGTAGTATTATTTAAAGTAAGTTCAGGGGTCTGTTTAGAGGAAATTTGGGTCCGTTAACGGACCCTTCACAAAATATCTCTTCGTAAAAACGGACCCTTCGCAAAATAATTTATCTTTTAATCGGACCCTTTAACAATTTGTTTATCTTCATTATTGTTTTGTTAATCGAATTAACTCTTCCCGGGAGAAGGGGAAAAAGACGGTTCGAAACGAACTAAGTTTTCCAAGTTTCCTAAGTTTATAAGTTCTACTTTTACAAACATCGTGTGCAAATTCTTATTGATATTAAATGATAATTTTTTTTTTGTAAATAAATAATTCATCAATTTATATTTATTCCTAAAATTAATTAATAGAATATTATGCAAAATAAAATTAACTTCTGGCAATTTTTTAAATAAATATTATAAATTTAAGAATTGTTTAAGTTTACTGAATACGTAACACATTAAAAGTGATATATAACTAAGTTGTGTTATTTAAAATAGGTCAATTGAAATTATTAAAAATGCGAGTGATTTTGTTTCCATTATTCGTCCGAAATTAATATTCTGTGCTGAGCAGTATAGGCTAAATAACAAACATTTGTATGTTGCATCTCCAATTTAGTAGCAGCAATTGTTGAGCAGAATCTTGTATCTATTTACAATTTAAAACCTTCCTGAAAATGTTTTTAACAATTTTTGCAATAACAGAACCCTATTTGCACAAATTCATAAAAGCAGGATCCTGGTTGAAAGAATGTGACTTAACGCTTATTTTATATTCACAAATTATGGGTAGAAAATTGAAATACGTAGATTCCATGAATCTAAAGGGAACTTTCTATTATTTGTTCGTGTTCACATACATTTCCCACCGCAAACCCGTGCATAAAAATAAATCCTTTCATTATAAATAGAAATCAAAATTCCCTAAGAAGACGTTTTTGTCTGGGCGTTGTTTCCCTTTTAAACTCAGTCATGAAGAATATTACCGGAGACACACGACTATCGACATAATAAATTGACGCGTCTTCATATTGCAACGCTTGTTTTCTTTATGTACAAAAACACACATCATCATCATAGTTGGCCAGACAGCCCAATGTGAGCCAATGCCTTCTTCTGAAGATTTCTCCATAACGACTTCCCGATTTATCTTTGATTTCCAATTATTTACATTAATTGCAAGAAAATCAGAAGGTCAGCCCATCTCAACCGCAGCCTTCCCCGCTTTCTTGTTCCAACGAGTCTAAAAAGCAGTATCTTTTTTATTGTATTGTCATCAGTCATTCGAATCACGTGGGCCATTCAATTCATTCTATTTATTTTTATATATTTAATAATATCGGGTTGCTTATAAATCTTGTACACTTCAAAGTTAAATCTTCAGTTATTGTTTTCATTTACACCACCAAGTGTACTCCGCATAAATCTTTCTCTCGAATATTGCGATACAATTTTCCTCCAGTTTTGTCATTGTCCAAGCTGCATATATCAAAACCGGCCAGATTAGAGTTTTGTAAATTAAAAAATATGTTTTTCTATAGAGAAACCTAGAATTAAAAATATTCTCAGCCCTATTTGCCAGATAGAGTCGGCTTTTTAATTCAGGAGACATTCTGCATTCTTCTTGTATGCTAGTGGTTTCCAACTGGAGGCCCGGGGGCCGCGTCCGGTCCTCAAAGCTTTTTTTTGTGGCCCGCGAACTAAAATATGTTAGTTGTCATTTTTTTGCGGACAATTTTCGTAAAAACTCTATATGGGTTTAAAATACTTTTCTGGTTAATAAAAACCTAATTTCTTCGTTTCTGTGAAATTTAACATACCAACGGTGCAAAAAAAATTATTTCTTGGATTTTGCATCCAAGAAAATATTCTATTACAGGTGTATGTTGCTCTTTTTTATTTCATTTTTTTTAGTATTTTGCGAATATAATTTAGCATGTGTGTATCAGAAATTTTCTCGAAAAAATTCTCCGATTTAACTTTTTGAAACCACTCATTTTGAACGAAAATATTTACACACACATTTGTAAATTTTAAATTTAAAATGTAAATATCTATTCTCTGGTAGTTGCAGCAGACAAATCTCAATTTTCTCATTGAACATTTTGTGTGCCACCATGTGAGTTTCAATACCACCTTTTTAAAGTTTTATATCTTAACAATTAGATATCTGCTACACATTAATTGTTTAATACATTGGTGCACATTAAAATTATTGTATCCAGAATTTTTTAATATGCAATTAAATATTTTTAAAAATCCACTTCTTACTTTAATTTGTAATTCAATACTTTTGTTTTGCACAACTTGGTAAAAAATCTGACAGTAATATTTAATGTTCTTTCAAAAATAAGGCAGTCCTACATAAAATTCTTATGTAAGGTATAAGATAAAGTTGATAAAGTTGCGGCCCACCATTTGATTTGTGTTTTTAATTGTGGCCCCCGGCCTCATGTAATTTAGAAACCCCTGTTGCACCCAACCTGTTGTTGTTGGTATACAACCCCTGTTGTATACCAACAAAACACACATTATTCCTAAAGTAAAAAACGACAGCTTTTTTCTATTTATTTCAAAAATAAAATAACAATCCATTGATGCTGTGTCGTTTTTTTTTTTTTCTGCGATAATTGTATCAGCTAATTTTAGATGTGCTTTAACGTAAACCATCAACTTGTGAATGATGAGAACTGTTGCATGAGAAGTAACAAGTTCTGACAAAACACTTTCCGGATTACACTGTATACTTAAATGGGTTAATGAATAAGGCTCCTGGTTAAAACTAAAAAAAGAGCGAGGGATTCTCGTTATAAATGCTAGAAATAATAATAACACCAGTGTGACATGTTGAAATTCTCATGGATTTCTATGTTTGTATTTTATTGCCGCATGTTTTCAATGACCTTCACTTCTCTGAGTGCGAAATCCATCCATGAAAATATTTTACGAACGAACCATCAGTGACAAAGTGTATGGACATGCTCCAATTAATCTCTATAGATATTTTCTGGTTTATATTTGACAGTCTCCAGACATATGTTTCATAATTAATAATTAATTCGATTGCTTACCGGAAACGAATATTTTACAGTTATCTCAAAAATCAAGTT